AAATTAAGTGCGACGTGGAAGGTGGTGGGGGGCATGCGCAGTACGTGACCGAGCCTAGGCAAGCGGTGCTGGATGATTATGCTCTGAAGAAAAGGGCTTTCCGCCCCCATGACCCTAATTCTAACTTCCGCGTTACTTACATGGCGCTACCGACATAGGCGAGCAATCGAACGCAACCACCGTTTGTCGAAAGTAGACAGTCATCTCAAATCTTCCAATTAAACAGGCTAAGTCTTGCAGCCATACAGTAGGACAACACGAACTGTGGCATTGTACACTCAGCCTTCGAGCTTCAGACTGATATCGCAACGATACCGAAAGTGTCTAAGGTTAGGAAATGCAAGGAGATCTTTGGCAAGTCGTTGTGGAATTTCATCGCCAACACCTCCACCAGCCGTCATACGACTGCTGAGGCACGTAAATCTGTTAACTAGCTCTAGGCTGGCACCCGAAATGATGAGCGTAGGCACAGGCGCCTGCCAATCCTGGAGCAAAGCTTTACACTTGGATGGATCAATATATTGATCATACTTAGATGTCTCTAACGCTAAGCGACACAGGGTGTTTTGAATAGCCTGCGAGTCGTTCACCAGCAAAGCGACATTATCAACATAGTCTAGGTCCACGTGTCTGCTCTGCAGGTAGTAGCAAAAAGCCGCAGATCTGGCCTTCTTCTAATGCGCGGGGTAGGACATTTTGATGGCGAGTTAAACAGGAACTGCGAGATAGGACAACCTTGGCGCACCCCACTGGCGACAGGAAACGAAAATAAAATCTGCCCTTAGCTATAACTTTTCCAGAGGTATGACAATACAGCCCATTCAAGGGTATGACAAATTTGTCTGGAGCGCCGTTCCTTCCCATAGTAACGACCTATCTACTGAAAGGCAGCAGGATATCCAAAAACATCACCACTGTTGGTCTTTGGTGGACATGACGATGTTCGAGAATTTGATGCAAAGTGAAAATTTGTTCAACGTAACTACGGCCTGAACGAAAAGCAGCCTGTTCCTCATAATACAAACTCTCGTGGGTTACTGAGCGTCTGCGAAGCAGAATGGACACAAAATGCTTGGACGCGACATAGATAAATGAGATTCCTCGGTAGTTCGTGCATTCACTGCGAGAACCCTTCTTGTAGATTGGAACCGCGATAGATGTACCCCATGAGTTAGGAACTTTCTCATCGCTCCATACTTTTGTGAAGTGTGATAGAATTTTGGTGAAAAGTATGTTCCCCCATCTTTGAATAAGGCCGGAGAAAGGCTATCAAGGCCAGTCTGGATTTATCTTCATATTTCTACTTAAGTGCTAGGATCTATGCAAGCTGACCTAGTATCACCTGATGGCAGTGAATGTGTAACCGGAGGTTGTGTTGGGCAATTAAACAGGAGAGCAAAGTTCTCTGCCCAGCGATCCAGACGTCTGCATACACTGGTGCTTTGTGTACCGTCTGACTCACGGATGGTCTGACTGATAGCCTGAACTTTGCATCTGGTGGATCTGATGAGATAAACAACTTGCGGCTGTTACCACCAGAAACAGGAACTTTTATTTCCTTGACCTGTTTGGACCACCCGGATTCACGGTCGGGGCGAAGACTCGCTTTAGTTGTCTGGGAAATAGAACGGCGGAGCTCGTTTGCTCTATACTGACGGATATAGCTCGCCGTTAGTCAAGAATTTCAGCGGTGGTGGCCGTGATCCAAGTTCTAGTTTTGCAACGAACAAGATCTCAGCTGGACTAACCCACTGAAAACATAATTTGTTGCATTTGCGACCAATGCTGAGCAACATCTTGAGGAGGAGGAGAAGTAAGGTTCTCACGATTTTGCTTTCGATATTCCAATTGCACGGCGGGTCTTCCAATTTATCAAAGCTGATTCGAGTTTTTCTAATCTTAGGCAAGCCACCGAAATGCATGCAGACCGACGCACGTACTAGCGTATGACCAGTTTCCACGCGTGTTGAACAATAGGATCTGCAGTCCCGAATACTGCCAAGCCAGCGATTATTTATGGCGATGTGATCAATCTGCGACCAACGTTGAAGGGATGGTGGAGCGCACCAGGTAGCTTAATGATGCCTGAGGTGGGAAAAATTTGTGCTAGAGAGGCAAAATTGATGGACGGCACACAAACTGCTTAGTCTTGCTCCATTGTCTTGGCGAAAGTCGTCGTATCCATACGGGCCTCCAGGATGGCGTTTGCTTGGTAACAAACGACCAACACACGTGTTGAAACTCCCCACCATAATACTGAGATTTCTGGGACCCTTAAGAGCAAAGCATGAAGGTTTTGACAAAATTGGTCCTTGAGGGTATCAGAGCTATAGTCAGTGAGAGCATATGTGGCGATTACACAGCAGCTTTGTCTTCTCGACGCCTGTTAACCTTGCACAAGCCATGGAACCTGACAGCACAAAGGCGGCTGTTGATCGGAATCTATTCGGGAACCGCGGCTCCGGCACTGGCACTAGGAACGACCCCGACACCAGCTTGCCCTGAAGCGGTAGCCTCGGCATCTCCAGAATGTCGAAAGTGGAAACGGGTACGAGGGTAAATTGGTGATGACAATGGGTAGACTGTGCTGGAATCCTGAAGTCGTGTTACGGACAAACAAGACACCAATTACAAAAGTATATAAAGTGCGCCAGATCGGCTTGTTGCCTAATATGTTTTAAGGTGCGCTCATTGAACAACGCCAAGTCGAAGTGTGTCTCCGGTTGCAGAAGCGGAGAGGGGACAATACTCGATTGTTCAGTCCTGGTTTGGCGCCGTGTGGTTATGTCAGAGGATGCAGCGGAAACAGTGATATCTGAGGGAGGTATGCTGTTCATCGTTGATTGAAGAGACTAAAAGGGAGAAGAAGGATACTAGAGAAGAGTAGATAAGCGAGTGGCATGTGATGGAGGGGTGTTTGCAGTAGCAGCATGAGGGAGAAGCATCAGCACAGCGAAGAGTGCAGTTCATTTCCATGGTTCACCAGTAGGCGAGATACTACGCGGTCGCCTAGGCCGAAGTAGGGACTTGTATTAGGGGGGCCGCCACCCCGAGCAGTTGACTCAGTAGCCTACCCGCAAGGCAGCCGGGCCAACTCGAGGAATCACGCTCATTGGGAGTAGGTGACAGATTACTCGGCCTTTCCTTTGGTCAAGTACCAAAGACGGGTCCAATATCCCCAAGATGATACCGGCTGACAGTTGGAATACTATGCCCCACTGGAGTGAAGCAAGGGAATAAGTTTGGTCATTAGCTAGTCATACTCGCCAAGTCGCAGTGTTGTTAAACGGACAAATGCAACTTATCATAGGGAGAAAGTTTGGCTGGCGAAAACCCACCACGTCCTGGAACACAGCCGCGATCAGCTATCGTTCTTGAGAGGTTGAATGTAAAACAGACTGCCAAATAGAATTTGGTGGAGATATGAGCGCTTGACTTCATGGCAGTTGGCAACAACATTGTTCAATTTGTATAACCGTCTAACTTGAGAATGCTTACCCTAGTCCAATCAGTCAACCCGTGTTTCAAAGAAGCGTTCACCGTTGTGACATGCATCGCCCGCTGCTCGTTGGCTGATGAGCAAATACTTCAACTGATAGCCAGAAGCTCACGTAGTAGTTTAAGTTAGTCTACATTGGAGCGCATGTTATTAAGAAAGCCAATATCTTTTGAGTCGGAACCTCGCTGTGGGCCCTCCTCTAGAGTTCCTGCGAGACTTGATATTGGTGTGTACTGAGAATGTGCGATTTGAGTTTGAAGGGATGGTGTACAAACAGATTGACGGCGTTGCTATGGGCAGTCCTTTGGGACCAGTTCTGGCAGACATCTTCCTAGGTATGATTGAAAGGAAAGTTGCTGCGTGCAGAGGTGAAGTCAAGCTTTACAGGCGTTGTGTAGATGATATTCTCGTCTTCACTAATGGCGAAAATTTTGATCGTATTGCTGCCCTCCTGAACTTAATTCATCTGAACCTTTCTGTATCACAGGAGAAGGAACAAGAAGACAGACTGCCGTTTCTTGACGTGTTCATCAAGAGAAGGACCGATGGCACATTGCAGCGCATGGTGTACAGAAAAGTGACCTGGGGGGAGGACGATAACTACATTTTTCCAGTTTCGCTCCAGTTGCATACAAGCGCGGCCTTGTAAAAGCTTTCTTCTACAGGGCTAGGCGGATATGCAGTCCGGAATTACTCAAGGCTGAAGAAACGTTTTTATACCGGACTTTGCTAGCTAATGGGTATCCGGAGAAATTCATTCAGACCCATAGCAGGCCCCCCAAGGGGAAGCTGCCCGTACAAACTGTGGAAAAGAAGAATGTTTATCCGTTCTAACCCTTTAAGGGGGATCATATGGCAAATGAAATTGGTCACATGCTCAGGTCCGCTCTAATGCGCACCTACTCTACCGCCCAACTACGACTTATTCACACTACAAGAAGAATTCCTCTCCACATCCGTTCGAGCAGCACGCCAATCAGTTCGACCTCTAACATCATCTACCAGTTCACTTGCAGTTGCGGTGACACTTACATAGACAAGACTGGTCGTCGGATGGCTCAAAGGGTGGCGGAACACTTCCCATTGTGGCTAAGGCAGTTGCTGTCTAACCAAGGCGGAGCGAAACGAAGAATGAACAGGAACCCTGCCTCGTCTATCTCCAAACACCTCATGCTGACTCGTCACCAAGTGAACCCAATCGATTTATTAATAAAGCGTCGTGAAGTGAGGTGCTACGAACAGGCAACACTGATCACTTATCACAAATCAGGTTTCTTCCGTGTTTCCTGATACCTTCTAGTACGTGCGAATCACGTATCCGCCAAAACTGTGCAAACAACAGCAACACGAGATGCTAATGGTCAGATAGTGACGCATAATACTGCAATCCAGGAAACCAAATAAACCGTATGAAATCAAATCTTGGTACTTCTTTTTGGTTCATAAAATTGAGCAGTTTTAATGTTTGAACGAAACAATTATAAGACTTATATGGACTTACGGGAAGGTGTGTTTGGGGCCGGTGTAGTCACATAATTGGAGGTTGCAGCTGGAGAAAAGAGCAACAGGCACATTATTAACCAGCAGTTAAGTGTGTAATGCTGTCTATTGTCGCAATCCTATATCAGGTGGGAAGTTGTAACATAGCCATATCAATAGTATTCTGTATGCACAGGTTATGTAGCGACATCGAAAGAAATGTCGAGTGACTCTCATGATGTAAATACTGGATAAATATGCTGCACTAAGCTGGTGTTTCACACTACAACTCACAGGTGCAAAATAACAGTTGGTTTCAATGCTTGATATTGGACCTTTCTACTTACGTTCTATTTAGCAGACAGTCGAAGGGTTGCTCAGAAATTGATTTCGACACTTAGCTACAAGTTGGCTCTATGGCTGATGTTGTAGAGATGAGCACGGGCTTGATCACCAATAACCATACATCGATCAGGTTATAGCGAATCTCGCGTAAGCGTTCCCAGTCAAACTCAGCTTTATACAGAATGCAGCACTTTGGCTTATAACCCTGACTACAATTAACCTTTTTGTTGTCAGTTTTATATTTTTAAATTTCGATGATAACTTGCATTGAAAATTTCTTTAATCATGTCCAACAGTCTACATTAGGCTTGTGACTGGCCGTTGAAAAACTGTCGAAAGTCGGAACTTTGTTGTGGCGATCTTTTATGATCCAATGGCCGAGGCTGTGTAGGTCAATCTCTGCCCGTGCAGTGTCACATAACTCAGAGTTTGTCCCATATAACAGAGGCAGCAGAAACTCATGAGGTGTATCCTCTTTCTGCGGTCACTTGGAAAGTCGCTGTCATCCGAACTCGGCCAATCGAAACGAGAGACATATTAGTACGATTCCACTCAGAGTTGCAAAGAAGAAAACTATGTGTTTCATTGCTTTACGAGTGTGCTCATATGACGTTACGAATCGAACAGAGTCTATCCATACGACATTACAAAATGAGGGATGCTTTCTTCACTTTATTTTATAGTTTATTTAAAAGTTTCGTTTATTATAGCAAACGAATTTTTGGTATGTCCATGACATTTGTCTTGAACTTTTATTTTCAAGTTAGCAACTGCACCGACAACATAAAGATAGACCGTTAGCTGACTACAAGAATACTGCTAAATGTGATACAGAAATATTCATCAACGAATGCCGGTTTAACAATAGTTAATATCAGATTTTTCGCTTCAGGAAGAGTTCCACAGCGTGTTACTGTCTGATTTCTGGTATGAAAGTGTTAAAACCCTGTCGTTTGGAAGACACTGTCACAGTTCTTCGTCCATTTACCACAATGTATTTAAATGAAGGTACACTTTCTCATTAAACTTATATAAAAACAAATTAGAGCAATAGACCTGAAGCTCAACCAGATATGAGTTTCAGTTTTCCTCAATAACAATAAACATCATAGAAGTAAACACTGCATGTCAGAAACAAATTCATCTATCTTATTCAAATTTATGTACCTTGATTTTTCTATCTACGTTCAACTTCATCCAACCTTTCCAAGTTAAGTAAACACCCGTGTTGATTCAGTGTAGTAATAAAGGTTTTCAGGACATCTCCTCATCCTCTTTTTATTAATGTCTAGCCCTGCGGTCAGCGATATCTCTGCTGGTCCGCTTTACGATTTATCACTGAAAATGTGATGCACGGTATAAAACGTTTGAGAACCGCTGCTTGAAATTTTTCTTTTCGATTATCTGACAACTCTCGCGACTACCGACTAGAATGTGTTTGATAGAAGTTCGATTAGACTGCAGATTTTCTCCGTATGTTACTAGTGCAACTTCTAACGTGGAACGACAGGTACCAATCTTACAAACAGGCAATACACGTGTAACTCCATGAGGAAATGCTTGTTATTAAACACTTTATTGTGACGGCAACAGGAATTGCATTAGAAGCAAATTCATTGTGTATAGTGCTCACTTCGACAATAAACACGTCAATCTATGCCAACCGTTCTTCGCGGTAAAATATTAGCTTATCTTCCACAATTTTCGGAGAGCAATGTTTATAGCTCCTCGGATCTTTGCGTGATCCAGTCGATGGACGTAGAGCGCACACTTTGATAGCCATCTATCTGACTGGCATCCATTTATTCGTGACGTAACAAAGGCACGCGGCTAGGGTTCACTACGTGCCGAATTCAGGTGAACAATCCACAGGAATTTATACGGTCGCCGTTTGTGTGTTTTGCCGACCAAGTGAAGATTTGGAGAGAAAGCTCGCGCAGCCATCAAAAGTCTGTAGACAACAGGAACAGACTGCATTGTATCGAACAGTGTATGCTTCGGATGCTTAAACTCAGCTTCACTCGATCTGAACGTTTGGACACCCGCCTATTCTGTCACCTGACCCAACACTCGAGTATGGCTCGCTCATATCCAGTCTATTCACTCGATGCGTGGTGCAGAATATCGAACATGTGCAACAGATCTCGAGCAGACTCGTTATGAATGCACTAGGATTCCAGTACGAAAAAAGTGCGAGATCCTGAGCATATACAACTTATCATAGTGTCTAGGGAAAATTTGTCCCCTCTTGATCAATCTCAAATCACATGATAAAATTCTTCCATCCTGATTCCTTTGTTTCACTTGCGAATGCCGTTCTGCAAATGAGGAGACCGGTAATAGTGGTTTTGCCGAACAAGATGGTGTTTTACACTCACTTGGTTTCAAACGGTTAGTGCTAACGGTTTGGATCATTCGTGCAGAACAATTCGTGAATACTAACCCTGCGCAACAATTCAAGCCTTGTTGAACTCGCAACTCGCTACTCTATTCCATTCACAGAGCGATTGCACACTGGCAATGACATCCCACGCATGTGTGATTCTATACTGAGAAAGAGACATCATTCTATGCGACACTGGAGCTTGCATTACGATGGACTATGAACAGTTGTCAAACACTCATTATCCCATTCTTGATCAGATTCCCTTGGCATAGAAGAGACTTAAATTTCTAATTGCCTCCACACCACAATATTCGGTGCACACTCAGTTAAGCATAAAGCCGAGTAAAAATATCTTGTTTCATGTATCGGAATAGCACTGCGTATATGATATTGCGAAGGATACGCAAGGAAAGCAGCTAGAAGAGGTGCCGCTGTCTAATCCAACCAGGGAAAGAAAACGTGTGAATGTTCAAACCAACAAGAAATGGCTCATTTTAAAACTGACCATTTGTCTCTAGAAAAGGATTTTTGTTATTGCAGAACTCATCCAAAATATGGGGTGCATCAAGCGTATAATTTTATTCGTATGATGAAAAGTATTCGATCATCAGGAATTTATGCCGTACGTAACTGAACAAAGTTTGATATTTTTCTTGTTGGTCTTCGTCTTTAGAGCAGCAATGAGTTATAATCCAGCCACAGGTGTGTGAGTATTGCAAAGTATCCATGAATTATACGCCATTTATACTGTCGACTCACAGCTAACGCCTACTTTCCAAGTAGCACATTCAGAAGCACAGAAGTTTACACCCGAATGCATGCGAATTCGTTCAAGAAAATTCCTCAAGTGAAACTATCAGTCTGCCACACATATGAGTGCATGGTCAAAGAAAATCTGCTGGAATATTTTGGCCCAGCCAAGGAACGACGACATGTGGCAAATGTCAATGACGCTTAGAAGCGTCCTGACTCTATGAACTCACGTTTTACCGTAGGTGTCTAATATACGTGTGGAACTATCCATCGGAATTACTAATCTGGCGTAAGCTGCGTGTGCAATAAATGATTCAGCTTTCTGCACTCGACTCAGTACTGCTTTGAAGTAGCGGACTTCATAAGTGAAAGCGAAAATAATCCACGCAAGGGAATTTGTGTAGTTGTGTTCAAAGGTAAACCGGTAGTGGTCATGAATTTCGTAGTGGCAATATGTTGATCCATTTCATAACTACTTAACTCTCAATCAGTTGTGAATATGACCATAATCGTGCATGAACTCACCTGGTATAGGTGTAGTTTCAGTTGCCGTTTGGCCTGTAAAACCGACGGAATTGTGCAAACAACTGCATGCATTTCGTACATATGGTTGTGAAGTATAGGAGCATAGTTATTTAAACAGGATTTAAAATGTTGCTGGGTCACATCAATAATAAGTTTTGATATCATTTCGCTGAGTACACGCAGTTCGCATTGGAAGTGTTCCGTTTTCACATAGATCACTTACTTGACCGATTGATATAAGTTTGCACATTGTAGTAGAGGAGGTATTTGTCACGGTCGTCACACGGCTAATTGCCGCATTTCGCTCAGTCATAAATTCTATGTCCCAGTCATCCTACACTGTGATTTCACAGACACTTCCGCCTGACGAATCGCTGTGTTATATTATAAACGACCAATGAATTTATCTTGCTGATGAAAGTCCCATAACAACGCAACACGTGCTAGCACTCACGGGGTTTCCCATGCACAATCTTGGTTACATTCACTCTCTCCTACTAGCGTTCTTGAATTGGTAACCTCAATTTGTCAAACTGGGAACTCCATGAAGTTGCATACGGAGTAAATAAATTAAAATATTCCCGAATTGCACGCCCCGCTATTATGTGCAACTAATCGAAGCAGCAATTTTTCCCCTCGCGAAGCAATGATGCGGTTCGGCAATATTAGATTAAAGTATGGAAGTTTTTCTGTGCACGAATTGCGATCGGCAGCAGAGGCGATCGCTATTAGGGTCTATAACTCGGACCTATGTGCATAATTTAACCCCGCTTTTGCCTCAGACCAGCGCGACTAATAATGGCAGTCACGCCACTTCACTTGACTTCGCCTCAACCAGATAATCACGTTGACCTTTTATTATTAGATTGGCCAGGAAGTTCAGCTCCGGAAGATAACTGCATGAACATACTTTGTGATTCCCGTAAACACTTTGTACGAAGGGAGTTCAAAAAGCAACCAAACTTTCAAAATAGCACGGCAACCGGTATAGTGAGCGCAATGCGGCTACTAAGCGCCTGTGGAGGCTTACTTAGACAACTAAATGCTCTTTGCCGCCTTTTGCTCTGACTGTTGGTTGCTGGGCGACAGCCGGTGAAGTGAGCACGTGTACAACCTGCTCGTCGGATTAGTGTCAAAGAGACAATGAAGGAACTTGAAGAATAACGAGTGTGCAAAGTTTTGCTACAAACTTGGAAGAACTTTTACAGATACCTTTTAGTTGCATAGCCAAGTATATAGAGTGATGGCTGTATGAGTCGCAAACAGTGCTATGAGTGGTTTAGGTGTTGCGAACACGACAGAATGTCTGTTGGTGATGCTCCCAAGCCTGGACGAATTTTCACCACAACAAACGATGACCATGTCGAGAGGGTTCGTGCTGTGAGCAGTGGGAATCGTCTCCTAACTATTCTGGAAGTTGCTGAGGAAGTTGGCATCAACGTAGGAACATGCCATCAAATTCCAGCGCGTCTGAGGGATGCAGGAAGCAGCAAGTGGCCCGAACTGTGGGAAACCCAGACTCGGGTATTGGATCATGGCAGTCTGCCAGCTAACGCATGGCTGCTTGTCAGCAACTAGCTAGCAAAACATCACACCGCACCGTATTCTCCGGATCTATCAACTGCAGATTTTTCCTGTTTCCCAAACTTAAAATCACGTGGGATGGGCTTTGTTTTCAAACCAGAGAAGAGATTCAGAACATTGCGACAAGTGACCTACGCGTCATCGCAGTGCTGTCCAGGTGGCTTTCCAAAATAGGAAGTACTGTTGGGAACGGTGTATTTCCGGTAGGGATACTTTGAGGTAGAAAGTGATTTAAATATATCTAACGAGCAATAATGATGATAAGGGGAAACTTCGGTATCTTGTTAAACAGCCCTCGTATACCTTGTATTCATATCACCAGCTGCAGCAGCGCATGGCTGGTGACCAATGAGTAGCGTCCGACGGGTCAATTGATTTAACGATTTCCGGACAATGACAGTCATCGTAAAACTATGCAGTGTTCGAGTATCTAGAGAAATAGTGTTAACTCAGGGCACTCGGTATGATAATAAACCTGTGAAATGAATGAGTAAAGTTTTGCAGATGTTGGTCCAAGTTGACTTGGGGTAACATGCAATTGGAGAAATGAATGAAGATCGCTGACGAATTGCCGCTGGGGTCAGTGTCACCTGACGAAAGGTTACAATGAAGGGTCTGCTTTTTGACCTCCGTCAGTGTGGATTGAATAACTGACTCATAGCTTGAGCCATTCTGTAGGAACGTACACAGAACCAGCGATATTAAACCTAAACGACTACGCAGTAGTACCTTAAACGAAGTGCGAATCCTAGTTCCATATATAACCCATGAAAATGCAGCGGAAAATGGAGGGTCTATAAAAGACGTATGGTTTAAAATTCTAGACATCTTTGGAACTTGTACAACGCATACTACTCCCGTGTTGACTGCTAGGCGAGAAAGCTGATTGCCAACGCGTGCCTGTTTGCCACAAATCGTGCTTGGGAAAGACCCTGCGAGACGGTTGCCAGGGCCCAGCCGAAAGGAGATGAAATCGCGCATCAGACGGCATGTGTGTTGCCAAGGCCTGAACGGAAGCTGATGAAATCGCGCGTCAGGCATCACGTGCGTTGCTGTGCCACGGATAGGCGGATGAAGACCGGCGTCCCCGAGCAAGACGGTGAACTGGACAGCCGGAACGGACAAGCAAGTGTGGAACTTGAGCTTACAGCCAAATCCGCCAGGCGATGTTTAGAGGATTGATGAAACCGACATATAAATATGAGCGTTCTCGGTCCTAATTCAACTCTGGTCTGCTGAGTCTTCTTCTGTCTTCCCCCCTTTCTTGTTTGCCAAGGCGTCAAACAGAGCAGGCGTAAAGAGGCAGATTTACCAACAGGCGTGAATCAACCGGTCGATTGCTGCTACAGCGTTATAACGTGTCAATTCAACGTTCAAAACCTGACCTGTTAAATTCCAGAGTAATTCAAATGGATAAGTAAACAATGGGAACCATATACAAGCAAAGAATCGACATTCACGAATTGCTTATGTTATTCGAGATCAGCCCGATTCATTACTTAAGGTTTCGACTAGACAAGTTATTTTGCAAAGTACGCCCAATGAACACGTATATACCATTCGACTGATAGTGTGTGAGAATTCCTTGTTCCCCAACGCAACTCATACTTGGAATTATTCCTACTATTTACTTACAAGTAGCTTATATTCTATCCAAATTGGTAACTACCATGGTCCGACAATACTATTGATCACATACAACTGAATATGCTTAATTCGCGAGTAACAGAATTTTAGTTGTACTTTTGTTATGGCCTACATCCCTTAGTTCACAAGCTACATAGCACCGGACGCGTTTCGCTCTAACAAAATTACAGCTAAAATCCTACTACTCGAGAGTAACAGAAAAACTAAATAGCCTGTCCTAGTTTCAAATGCTATGGATATAGCGTCTAGCTAAAGGACGTCATCACCTCGTAAGCTAGCCACTGTCAGTGATAGTGGAAAATAAGACGTGCTATATCTCAGTTCGCTTGTAAATTATGTGGCCCAGCCAACGTCCCCATGGCTCTGTGGCTTAAGCTGCTGGCTAGTTGGCATCTGCCTCTAGCGGTCGTGCTTTCGATCTCTAGTAGGGGACCGAGGGATTGCGCACCACCTATGGGCCCCAAGAGGGCGAAGCGCGTTTGGTGCTTTTCCGGACTAGGGTGTGCCATGTAGCTTGTGGACTACTGAGATGAAAGCCTTAACAAAACGCTGAACTGCCTATTTACATTCCTTTCCTAGTCTTCATATGACTGGTTATTTACTCACAACGACGTGCACCGCCAAGACATCCGTACATTTTGTTTAAATGTACTATATATACCATAAGTGATGTATTGCAGACTGCTCAAGCTGAACATGTGGAATGATATCTGTAGCTAATTACGGGTGTGTTCACCTGTTCGTGAGGTATACATTTCCATTTTACTTTAAGATCCTTTTGTAGAACCACTGTTGGCTCATTACAATTTGTTCTGCCCACCCCGCTTAATTTTCACAGTACAGACCTACATATAGATAGGTGTTGTCGAGTCGCCATTAAATAGCGAATGCTGTATAACAGTGTGCATTAATTGTTTGCAATGGATAGCATTTATCAGTAGCTTGATCATTTAGCGATCCACAGCAGCGTTCTGGCATCTTTGTGCTAATCGGTGTAGTAGATACACTGTTGCTCCCATTATCCTGACAAGGTTGGTTTGGATAAAATATGTAGGGGCAATCAGGGCGCATGACAGTCCTTGAAGTCTCGGAGAACTCACGACCCAGGTCCTAAACCTTGTGGAATACTGTATTCAACCTCAGTCAGGTCGGCCAATAAGCAACGCTTTCCATCAATAAGGAAGATCATAGGTTCCGATGCACACAAGGAAACTATTCCTTACTCTATAATTTTGGGGTTTGGAATAGTTATCTAAACATCTATGTTCTAAAAATGGTTAGAAAACCCAGTGAACATGATGTCGACTCCGTCCCGATTGCCCGACATTCTGGTCTAACCATACCACGCAACCAATAAGCCGGTATTTTTGAGTTAGCCAATGGCAGCCGGATCCAATCAGATCATTACTGCACATACGGAAGCGCGATAGCTATCATTTAGATCTAAGCAGCTTTGCAGATAACCAATGGATGACGAATCATGCGTGGTATTGTTCGTGAACCTCCGCAATACAACACCAGAAGTTAGGCCTTCGTGTTTGAAAGTCCATGGCTGACTCCCGCTACGTAGTACAACTCATCCTTCACATCCATGCATGCAGGCACGTGCAAGAAACTCGGTAGGTCGCCAGGGCTACGATTTTCCTAACGCACCGCTAAAGATCGAGGAGCATGTAGTGTTTGTCCAAACGTTATTCGCCATCGGTGTCAACGGAAAATATGCTTGCCCCTCGCTGTATTATCTGATTGTTTCTGGCGGTCCTATAACACCACAATAACGAAAGGGTACACTAGCTTTAGCGTTCTGGGGAGGAAGATCATGGGGTGACAGCTTTCGGTTCCTAAACAAACATCTCATTTACTATTTAAGGGTAATAAATCGACTGCTTATGTGGTACGAACCTACCGATCTCCGCTCGTAATTGCCAATTACGGTTAAATGCTACGGGTTTCAGGTGAACCGTGGGCACACAAACATATCCGCATCTTCAATTCAGTAGCGCGGCTGAAATTTACATCAGCAAGTTCCATTGCTTGTGAAATGGGGACACATTTAAAGGTAGACCGGCAGCTATTCGGATTCTCGTTACACTTTGCAGCGGAGTAAGGATGTTCCTTATTCATCGATTTGTGTCACACGTCTTCTCAGGGGACGCAAGTTCTATTTGGTGAATTTGCTTAACAATGTCTACTAAGCTATAGAGAGGCATTCAAGTGCTCATGTCACCCTGATACATGAATTTCCATTCATTATTCGATTACAATGAATTATATGCAGTACAGCACGGCGACTATGTATCCACTGCCTGCGGAAAAAATATTACACCTTCAAGAACACATCCGCGTGTCCAGCTTTCTTCCGCTCCAGCAATGGTGTCAAACGTTGCAGCTTTAGAAAATAGCAGCTGCAAAACCCCCAAGGTTATTTTTTCTATTGTGCTTGCTGGCAGATTAAGCAGCAGCATTGCTTGGGCGCATGGTGGAATTTAGCGTTGGCAAACTGATTGAGCATAACACTTGCGAAGAGAACTCTTTTCGGCAATTCACTTCAGGCAACTACAATTACAAGATGGATAAACGTACAGGTTAGCGAACGCTGGGGATGTGATTGGTTGAACGAAGTGGATCAATAGTTCACTCGATACATTCAGACGTCATGAATCGCGCGAGCACACGCGGAGAGGCACACACGGACATAGCACAGAACCGTTGGCCGGCACGTCTACAGTGGTCACTCTCAGTCGTAACCGAGGTCCGACATTACGGCCACGGCAAAAGTATAGATTGTATCAGTGTTCTCTGTTTGCACAAATCCGGATGAATTATCCTGATTGCAATGGCTTCAGCTGTGGTCAACAAGCGCTTTCTAATTCCTTTAGGGTTGCGCCTCAATGCCGTGTAGACTACTTTGAATACGTCATTAGTCCGAATCTGATGATCGCTACTAAGCAGATGTTCTAGGATCGAGCTGCGGATATTCTTAACCCTGTCATGTTGCAAAGCGGCAGGGCAGTGCTCCGCTATCCACCTAGATAGACGTCTGGTCGTATGCCCGAGGTACCCTACACCTGTGGTGCAGATAAATTGATATAGAACAAAAGATTCGCAACAAGCCTGGATTCTCTCTTTGAGGCGTTGCGTGACGAGCGGAACAGTTTCAGCAAATATATGAACTTGAGGGGCCGGATATGTCTTGCTTACCGCTAGGGATAGTCACCGATTTACTAAGTCGAAAGCGATATCGCCTTTGAAAGGAACTGAGAGGTTAACATGCAGTTCTTATTCGATGGAAAACACTACAGATAAATAGATGGAGTTGCAATGGGGTCGACGTTAGGGCCACTACATGCCGATTTCTTCCTCGCAAAAGTCGAGCGTAGCCCTATCCGGCACCATATCAAATCGCTTCATCTCTATTGGAGGTATATGGATAACACGTTCATCGTGTGTGATTCCCACATCGATCCCGGTCACTTATTGGACCAGTTTAACCACTCACATGCATCAGTAATATTCACTTCTGAGTTGGAGAAAGACGGTGAACTTCCGTTTTTGGATGTTTTGTTGCGAAGTCGAACCGATGACTCACTCGAGAGAAGCATCTTTTGTAAAACAACCTGGGTTGGTCAGTACACGCACTTTCTTAGTTTTTTCCCCTTAAGTACAAGAGAAACATCGTGCGTTGTCTGCACTATCGGGCCGCAAGAATTTATAGTGCAGAAAAGCTAGAAGCGGAATTGGAATCTATTCAAAAGGAGCTGCAAAGCAACGGATATCCCGCGATGTTTATCAAAAAGCATTGCGCTGTTTCTAATCAAATTAACACGATACCGACTGCAAGAAACAAGAATGATTACCTCTCAGTTCCTTTCAAAGGATATATCGCTTTCGACTTACTGAATAGGAGACTATCCCTAGCGTTAAGCAAGACATATCCCGCCACAAAGTTCATATATTTTCTGAAACTGTTCCGCTCGTCACGAAACGCCTCAAAGATAGAATCCAGGCTCGTTGCGAATCTGTTGTTCCATATCAATTTATCTGCACCACAGGTGTAGAGTACCTCGGGCATACGACCAGACGTCTACCTAGGCGGATAGCGGAGCACTGCCCTGCCTCTTTACAACATGACAGGGTTAAGAATATCCGCAGCTCGATCTCCGAATATCTGCTTAGTAGCAATCACCAGATTCGGACTAATGACGCATTCAAGGTTGTCTACACGGCACCGAGGCGCAACCCTAAATGAATCAGAAAGCGCTTGTTGACCACAGCTGAAGCCATTGCAATCAGGATACTTCAGCCGGATTTGTGCAAACAGAGAACACTCATACAATCTATACTGTTGCCGTGGCCGTAATGTCGGACCTCGGTTACGACTGAGAGTGACCACTGTAGACGTGCCGGCCAACGGTTCTGTGCTTTGTCCGTGTGTGCGTCTCCGTGTGTGCGTCTCCGCGTGTACTTGCGCGATTCATGACGTCTGAATGTATCGAGTGAACTATTGATCCACTTCGTTCAACCAATCACATCCCCAGCGTTCGCTTACCTGTACGTTTATCCGTCTTGTAATTGTAGTTGCCTGAAGTGAATTGCCGAAAAGAGTTCTCTTCGCAAATGTTATGCTTCCGATATCTGAATGCGCACAATTAATGAGCTAAAGAACCAAAACTGTCCGGTTCACTCAGCATGTGCTCACAGTTCAACTGCACCATCGTACCTTCTGGCAGATCCATCACATTTACGTTTGCACAATGCTTGATATTTGCTCGAATAATTTAGATTGTATGTACTCCACCCCCCACGTATCCATACAAGAGGTCTTATTAGGAGTAACTTTCAGGTTGTTGCAATTATTGAATGCGTTATCTCATCGGAACCTGAGTTACCAGTCAGTTTAAACTTTCATACATGGTATTTCATCTCAATTATAATGTCAAGCGCCGTTATGTCAGCAATAACTCACCACCGTATCCGAATAAATTGGCGACGGCTTTCTTGAAACGTTCCCAGACTTGCGTATTCGAATGTAAAGATAAAAGCACCATTGTGTAGCATTAGACACGTTTTCATTGAACAGTTAAGCATAAAGAGAACACATAGGAATTTGATGCGCATTAGATGAGTAATAAGGTAATACTTCATACCATTATTGAAATTGATTTATAAACTCTACTATTTGGAATTACTACTATCCATTGGCGTCTATTAGCTTTAGAGTCATTTCAACCCGAGAATTTCGGTGCGACTGCAAACCATTTGCGCCAGTCGATTGGTAATTTGCTACAAACTAGTTGTTAGTATCTCCTGTGAAAGTATCTAGAAAGTGCACAACCAATCTTAGAGGCTGTTGTATCCCGAAAAAGCAGCGGACCAGAGCAGCACCGGAAGGTATGTACGGAGGAAAGTGTCCGGACATACACGCAGTACAATTAAATCGATAGACGTTCGCATTGCAACTAATAAAATGCAAGATCCCATGATAGCCCAACGAGTGTTAAGTAGAATTGTGAATAGGATAAGCGAATCGAGGGCAAAAACGAAGCAAGGTATTTGAACACGCCAGAGTCCTAAATGCAAATCGGTTTAATGCTCTCTATACTTTTATTAACATTTTCTAACCCAGAATAGCAGCAGCAATATATACTTCTCTTCCGTCCTGATAAGGTATAATGTATTTGCGAGGTCTGACTGGTGACCACGCGTAGCAACAATTACGCGAGTTTGATGCAGTCTTTTGAGTCAAATGTTGGATGATTAGTTGATGTTTTCACGCCGGCACACAGACTATCAGTTATCCTAGCTTACATCTGTTAGAAGGTATACTCTCGTTATTACAAAGCGCTGCATTCTGTCTCAAAGCGACGCCGACGCAACAATGATAACCGGATTGTTCAAAAGTCTTCCAAGTGTATACGCATGATAGGAAGATGTATGGGTGGCTCATTCGTTGTTTGCTGCTAATATAATGCAGTCCTATTGTTTCTTATGCACAAATTACGCGGCGAACCAATCAATAACCATGCATCAGATTTTGTCATATCACAGCCAGCTAGTTAGGGCAGTGAAAGGCGGAGGCTGGAGTGTTCCTCATTCACCGATGTTCATTCTAACAAAATAGAAAATTTCCAGCTTACAGAGCTCATAGCTATAGGAACTCCAGTTTGCAAGCATACGGTCAACTGATTTAAATGCCAATCTACGTAAATAAGCAAATTATGGTAGACCGAACAAAATCTCCTAGGTTGTCTGGGATGTGGATAGATCCAACGCGGATGTGGACATTTGCAACTCTCATTAGGTCAGCGTCGATGATGGCAGCCTCGATGCAGTTTCAGTGAAACATGGAGAAATATCGAACTTCGCACGCAGCAGCTGCCATCACGCAAACGCCGGAGATAAGCACCCTTAATCCGGCTGCTGCACCCAACAACACTACAGTGCTGAGGGTCTGCACTGTACAGCAGTGCACAGAGTATCCTAGCGTACATTATAGTATCTGCAAATACAATGCAGTTTCTATTCTCATAAGATAATAGTGCGTGAAAGCGACGGAGGTCAGCTATCGTTAATGAGAGGTTGAATTTACCTCAGACTGTTAAATAGAAATACGTGCAGAAGTGACCGGGACATTTGAGCGCTTAATTTGATGGTAATTGGCGACAACACTGTTCAATTTGTAAAACCATATAACTTGAGAATGCTTGCCCCAAACCAATCAGTCAACCCATGTTTCAAAGAAGCATTAACCGTTGTGAAAAGCATCGCCCGCGGCTCGTTGGCTGATGAGCAAATACTTTAACTGATAGCCAGAAGCTCACGTAGTAGTTTTAATTAATCTACCTTACCAAGAAAGCGCCGGTGAAGTAAGGTGCTACGAACAGGCAACACTCAACACTTGTCAACATCGGGTTTCTTCCGGGTTTCCTGAAATTTACCAGCACCTGAGAATCACGTATTCGCCAACATTGTGCAAAAAACAGCAACATGAGATGCTAATGGTCAGATAGTGATACATAATGCTGCAAACGATGAAACCAAGTAAACCTTATGAAATTAAAGCTTGGTACTTCTGTTTGGTTCATAAAATTGAGCAGTTCTAATGTTTGAACGAGACAATTATAAGACTCATATGGACTTACGGGAAGGTGCTTGTGGGGCCGATGTTGTCACATAATCGGACGTTGCAGCTAAACAAAAGAGCAACAGGCACATTATTAACCAGTAGTTAAGTGTGTAATGCTGTCTATTGTCTCAATCCTAGATCAGGTGGGAAGTTGTAACATTGTCGTATCAATATTATTCTGTATGCACAGTTTATGTAGCGACATCGAAAGAAATGTTGAGCCAATCTCATGATGTAAGTACTGGATAAATGTGCTGTCATACGCTAGTGTTTCACACTACAGCAACTCACAGGTGCAAAGTAACAGTTGTTTTCAGTGCTTGAGGTTGGACATTTCTAATTACGTTCTATTTTGCAGACACTCGAAGGATTGCTCGGGAATTGATTTCGACGCTTAGGTACAAGTTGGCTCAATGGCTGATGTCTCATAAAGATGAGCACGGGTTTGGCCAGTCCAGTGTCCAAATACTTTGCTTTGTTTTTGCCCTCGATTCGCTTAACCTACTCACAATTCTATTTAGCACTCGTTGGCCTATCATGTGGTCTTGCATTTGATTGGTTGCAGTGCGAACCTCTATCGATTTAATTGTACTGCGCTTGTGTGCGACAGTTTCCTACCTACAAACGTCCCGGTGCTACGCTGATCTGCTGCTTTTTCGGGATACAACAATTTGGCGTCGCGGGCAGGGTGTATTTGCTTGCTACTGACCCTTTAACCGTTCTGGACTGACTATGCGGTTAGCCCAATTGCAGAATGCTGGGAAGACTGAGAAGCTTGTTTTTCAAATTATATTTCTGTGCTATCAGTTCTCCATCCATCCGTGACGTTGAAATTTGAGGATACATTAAAGCTTTTGCACTTGCACCTTGGCTCAGTGGGTTGACGCTTAGTTGATACTGTAAACTTGCGGGAGAAACCCACGTTGACAGAGGCCTTATCGGCCCTTGATAAACATTGGGGCGTTCCAGTGAACAACTACACTTCTCGGTACAATTTTTCGCAGCTGAAACAACCATCTGGTGAATCGGTGGATGCATTCATTTCGCGTCTTGTTTGTTCTGTTAGAAAGTGTGACTACAATATTATTCCCAAGAAAAAAGCGGAAGAAACCATGCTAATACAACAGACCAAAATATTTGGACACGACATTGTCCCCTCCTCTGTTCGTAAAAATATAGGCACAACATGTCCTTGAAAGACCTAATTTAATGTCAGCACCCCGAAGAATTGTCATGGAGTTTTATCCATTAAAGCGTATTGGTGGACAGGGCGGCGTATCTGGCCGGAACGTCGTAAGTTGGTTATTATTTTGCAACGAGCGCTTAATCGACATATACTTGTGGACAAGTTCCCTCTGCCTTCTATCGACGAGTTGATGGTTAAGCTATCAAACGCCAAACGTTTCTCAAAGCTGGATATTTGCAGTGCATAATAGCACCTGCCACTGACTTCAGATTGCCGATATTTGACTGCTTTCCTTACGCAAGACGGTTTGTATCAATACAAAGTGCTACCAGTGGGATTACTAGTGCCCCAGCAGCTTGGCATAAACTTATTACCCTATCGTTATCAGATCTCAAAGGACGTGTTGTGTATATGGATGATATTTGTATCTTTGGTAGTAACCCCACCGAACATCAGGAAAACCTTCATAATGTGCTGCATAGACTCAATAAACTGAATCACCGCCTGAATGCCAAAAAATGTCAATTCGCTGTAACGGAGGTCAAGTTTATTGGACATGTTACTTCTATCTTAAACCTAATGTGCAGAACACCATAGCCATTCTCGATTGTCCAAAACCATGCAACGTTACACAGATGAAACATTTCTTGGGTTTGTGTTCTTATTACCTTCGATATTTACCGAATTTCGCGACTATTGCTGAGCCGTTACGAAGGTTGGCGCGCCAAAATCAAGAGTTTCGTTGGGACACTGAATAAGCCAATGCTTACATGACCATACGAGCGATGATTGGATCCACTCCCACGGTAGCGATCTTCAATGAGCACTGTCCAACGTTTGTTTCAACGGATGCTTCAGATGTTGGCTTGGGTGCAGTTCTGTCCCAGCTGCGCGATGGCGAGGAGAAAGTGACTGCGTACGCATCACGTACCTTGTCTTATACTGAAATAAATTATTCCCCCGGCGATAAGGAAGCCCTCGCATGCGTCTGGGCATGTGAGAAAGGGCGCTTTTACTTATTCGGACGTCGATTCATTTTGCGTACCCATCATTCTGCTCTTACAAGTTTACTAAGTCGCGGTAACAAAGGCCAAACGCCTGTACACTTGAGTCGCTGGTACTCATGTTTAGTGAACTAGGATTATGAAATAAAATACGTGCCAGAGTGCTGTAACCAACTTGCAGATGCCTTGTCGAGACTCCCACTGTCCAACGAAGGGGAAAACGAGGACTTAGAGGAGGTAAAAGTATCGCAGCTCTCAGACGGAACACCTACAATAACGTTTGACATGGTACGAGAGCACATTGACAAAGACCCTGTCCTAGCGAAGCTTCGGAAGTATATCTCCACTTCATGGCCTAGTCGTACCAAGATCCAACCTGAGTTACTTCCATACAACACTCCAAGGAACGAGTAGTGTTTGTTTCCTCTGTTACGTACCTGAGTCAACTGCCACAAAACCGCTTAACCTGCCTCATGCGGCTAGTTACCAATGCGGTTAATTACAAATCAGTAAGCTCGAATGCATCCTTTTATTACTCTTTGTCTGATAAGCTAAACATCTTAATCATTAAGCCGAAGAATAACTGTACACCATGCTATGCTTGTATGAAGGAAGATACGGCATCCCAGTTCAAGTATGCATGTGTAGCTACCGAAACGAGAGGCAGCAAGTTAACGATTGTCCACTATGAACACCGGTAGACAATTAGGATTCAAAGGCTTGAGGAACAAGCGGAATCTAGAATGTATATATGTAAATAAGCTTCCTTTTTGAATTAAGGGGAGTGGGGCGAAATTGGGTTGACTTTTAAATGTGTTGCCTCGATACTTGCTCTAAATCTCCAGACCCGGCGAAACAGAACGCTGTGTATTTAACGCGAGTAAAGCGCTCCAGATTCTACAAGCGTCTTCCACTTGGCAGACATCGCGCAGATGCTCTCGTATGGGTTAGATATCCCTTTATTCGTCAGGTCCAGCATGAGTTGCTTCGAATCTTAAGGATTTGCTATACCAGTTGCAGTGGTACAATTTGGAGCAGAGTTAGCTGATTCCTTGTTGGTTGAACCATTCCGTCGGTAGCACTTTCGTGCTTTTTGTCCAAAAATCTTGACTGATGACTATTAGTTTTCCTATAAATCTACTCACCCGTCCAGTGCAAATTCACCAACAAGAAATCTAGAAGATTAGAGCAGCCCTGCCTTAACTGACTCAATTGTTGAATGTTTTACCCAGTGGTTACTGATATTCTAGTGTGTGAACTCCTCATGAAGTCCCGTTGTAAATACGGAGCAATTAAGCGTTATAATGAAAATAGTTCATAGACCGCAACTCAATAGCGGGTCAAATCAGACGAGGCTGGGGATAATCATCTCACTGCGAGACCATATTGGCTGACCAGAGGCATTCGAAGCTTGTGAGATTCCACGCGTCTTATTCGAGTGATCTACATACCCAAATGCGCTACGCTCACTACGTCGGATTCATACACAGTCATTTCGATGGGCCTATTGATGTGGGTGAGGACCGGTAGAAAGTGAGTCAAATTACTCATATGGAAAAGACAGGTGATTAAAACGCCGGCCATTGAGAATCATAGTTAAAAGCGAAACTAGTCCGAGGAGCATGATGTCCCCTTGAGATGAACTAAAACGTTAGCAGTTCTAACTACGTCGACATCTGGATGAGTTGGACTGCGAATGGTTCCAGTATACTACTACTGGGTTGAAAAGACTCAAAGTGATGAGGAAACAAATATCAGTCTCTTTATTATTCGGGTTGTTTCCAAGTTTCACCGAAGCAGGATAAACCGATTGCTCACACTTCATACACGGCCCTTGGCTCCTGCTAAGTCTTCCAAGTAGCTGTAACCAAGGTTTACGGTTCAATAAACAAACGCGGTCAATTCCGTCGTTTAAACCTAGCGTAGCGGCCAGATGAAGTGATACATACAGATGAGACTCTGTTTCGGGCCCAGTGGCTACTCATGCTCTCACTGCGATAGTTTTGGCAGTCTGCTGTTGCATCCATCACTACATCCGTTCTTCACTGTGTTGGAGACTTGTGGGTACCTAGCGAAGTGACGGTAGTTTATATGAACTGCTGTGATGTTCGATCCAATTCCGGAACAGAAATCTGTCCAAGGGTATACTTTAATGCAGTCTCCTGGCCAATTTATAAATAGGCTGTCGCATTTTCGAAGCCATATGAAAAGTCCCATTTTCACCTCATGGGCGCCTTCAATTGTGTTCGAGTACTCTGGCATGAAGTCCAACTTATACATGGGTATAGTGAGTTCGAAGTGAAGTTCATATAGTTGGTAATTTAAGCTGGAGCAGCGCAGCATTTACGGCAGCTGACCTACATAACAGGCTGCAAGGCAAGCGGTTTAATTTTAACAGTAAGCTGTATTTATGGAAGATGTGCTAGATAGTCATAAAATGGCGGCGTCTTTGATGTGCTCTGGGTTTGTACCGCTAAAGTGTAGGCATATTGAAACCATCAAGCCATAATGATTTGCCAAGAAGTATGATAAAGAAAAACTGCGAAGGCGCATTATGTTAGAAAATGCTTTCTCTCCGCCTAATTTATGGACCAGGCAGCGGAATTATTACAACAGCACGAGCACTGGCACTTCAAAACAGCTCACAGCCGTCGAAATATCTGTTCGAAGTGCGTACTTGATTACTTGAAGCGCCTTCTGAAGCCTGCAATTTATCCGCAATACTAGATGGCTCAAACATAATGGCCGCAACCTCCTGCACAGCGATGGCTTTTGCGCTAACACGTAACTGGTTCCGAGTTTGCAACTATCCAGGTGCCTGTAGCGAGTTTGACGTGTACCGTACTTGCCAAATTATGGAATGCGGAAACGCTTGCCAAATGGGAAGGCAAAATAACTG